GACACAGTATCTGAAAGAGAAAGCACTAACTGGATTAGACCTTTGGCTCAGGTAGCAAGGTGAGAATCGAAGCTAAGGGGGAGAATTGAATGCATCCTACCTTCGCTTTCTCTCGCCAATGTGTACCTTGTTCGGACGTTCGTTTATTATGCTTTTGATTTTCATTATGAAAAAATATCTAAATTTATGTTAACTAATATTGTAATGAAAAATAGAAGGTGCCAAAAAATTCTGTTCGCAGTTCATCTGAATATATTGTTGCCTGCGTACGGGTTCGTTATGAAATGAATGCATGAACAAAATTTATTATTATAAAAAATGCTTAAATTTTCTCAGATATTCGAGCAATATTACAATATCTCACAGTAGTTATCTTTTAACTACTCAAACGGTCAAGAGAACTTAGTTCAAAACAGCTAAAGAAAGCTAATCCGCGAATTCGCTACAATCAACAAGAGCAGTTTTCTAAACAAACTCTTAAAACAACAACAAACTAGCTAAAATAATCGAATTGAGAGGTTTTCCTCCTTTTTATAAGACTTTTACATCGCGCACGAGAATTTTCTGGAAGTTTCTCGAAATTAAAACGAGATATTTATTTATTAAATGTTAAATGCACGTGCTCTTGTATTTTTAATTTTCCGGCTTAGCTTTCCTTTAATATTCGTCACGCGCTGCACTTCACGGGGAATAAAAAAATTTAATTTACAATTCAACTATTATTAGCTATTTAAATACCAAATCCGTAAAAATATATATGTAAGATATACGAAAATACAATGGCTGTTTTAAAAATAATTGGCGAACTTAAAATTAACTATTTTAGATTTGGTGCTCTCTCCCTCAATTCGTCTGTTCTCCCAAATTCGAGATCCTTCTTTGTTATGTAACAGCCTCAAATTAATCAATGATAGCTTGTCTCTACAATTGCATCTACTTTGGTATAAATACTCGCTGATAAATTAATTACGTCATTCTTTTGCTAGCTTCGCCACGGCTAATACATCGCCGCTGATTCGCTTCTTAAATGCCTACGTCATTTCTTTTATAAAATCAATGTACATAGAAATTTATATTTAATTATGATTGACTAAATATCTGCGAAATTAATTGGATATGTGTGAAAATAAAGATTGGTGATTTATCAAAATCCAATTCGCTATCTTCATCTGTATGTCATAAGCCTTGACAATAAGCCTTAACTATAAGCCATGACGACTGCAAGCTAATTCCGAATACGCATCAAAATTATCACATCTACATGTATATATGTAGATATCCTGTTCTTTTCCTTTCTCAAAGATATCCCCCCGTTTCCTCAATTAAAAATGCATTTTAAATGAAAATAGCCATTCTAATAATTCTAATATTATTCTAATATTAATGCTGAGTTAAAAAAAAACTTTTATTTACAGTAAGTGTTAAAAGGATAAATGAATTTATCTGTCATTAGGAAGAAAAAAATTTACAAACTATGCTTGCATAAAATAAAAGTGTAGTGCATTCCTAGAAACCTCCGCTCGATAAAATATTATTTATGGTATTGCTCCAATGGTTTATAAGCATATTATAAAAGATAACAAAGATGATATAGAAAACGATTTTGTAATTTATTAAAATAATACTTATAATAATATTAAACTATCAGTATTTTCATTTTTCATAGGTCTGTTAACATTATATCATGCACTTAAATTAGTTCAGAATTTGTTTTTATGCTTCATAACATTTGCATCTTGCTTTCTTGACTCTTGCCAAATCTCTGGGTATATCTACATATCTGCCATTTCATACCATTAGAAAAATTATGGAAATATGTAAGATAACTTTCTCCCTCCTTATCTTGCCTCTTTACGGTAAATTTGGAAGCACGACATCCAAGTAACCGGAAAATCCGGAATTCGAATCCCGACTACAGGGTAGCTCATTTTTCACGACTCATGCTTCAACAAACTTAATGGCTCCACAGATGCTTAATTTTAGAGAATTATGGAGCTTTCAATTTGTTAGGAATTAGGAAAGAGAAATATAATAAGAACGTAACCATAATTTCATTAGAATATTATTATATTCATGTTGTTAAAATATAAATTTTAAATAGGAAAATCAGTGCTCTAAATTTTTAGGTTTGTTACGTTGAATCAAGATAGGTAATGGGTGTTTAACAATTTTATTTGCGGTAATCTGTTAAAAAAATGGTTTGAAAAGCTTTTCCTGGAAAATCAAGCTAATCATTGGACTCTGGAAAACAAGGATGTTTTTTAAATTGGAATGAATATTTTTAATTTCAGCAGGTCTCTAAAAATTGCGTTTATTTCAAAAATGTAATACTCAAACTTAATATTCTACAATTATTAAAAAAATATTTATTTCAAAATTTTATTATTTATGTTTCCATTTAGTTATATTTCACTTACGGTTTCTTCCCCTAACTCTTTTCTCTAGAAAAAAAAAAAAAAAAAAAAACTTTCTGCTACTACACCTTAACTCTTCTAAGGGGAGAAATAAGTAAGGCAATAGATAAAGTTTAGTTTGAAGTAGTTCCATCATTCATTCCCCAAAAGAGTAGCTACTTATAATAAACCGATCTTCTTCGATCTTGTTCCTATTTCCCTGGAAATTGTAAGTGACATCAGTGGTACCAGTGGTTTTAAGTGCCAGCATGCATTAAGCGCTACTTTGGTGGGTGGGACTTGAGACGCCGACAGTGAAGTTGCATGTTCTTCACTTTAGTTGCTTGTATCTTGTATTTATACTTTATTGCTTCCACTTGCGTTCGCAGAAGTAAGTGCAGCAGCAAACTGAAAGCCTGAGAGCTCAGAGAGAGGATAAAAACCTTAGTAAATCTTTTTGGGTGACCATTAAAATCTGAACCCTTTCAGAGCTTTTTTTTTACGAATTAATTTTTTTACCACAATAAATATAATAATGGATAATGTATTATGTTTGCTTAGACAAACTTACATTAAGATTCCAAATACAGCGTAAGAAATGAAACAAATAAAGGCTCTTCACACTGATGCCTTTGGAGGACTACTTGCCGATGCTAGAAAAGGCATGCCCAGATTTTCACCGATGGTTTGATCTATCGACCCCATTCGCATTATAATTCAAAGAAATATCAAAAATCTTAAACTCAGCTTACATACGAGCCGAATGCCTGATTAGAAAGTAGCTGACAGAGTTTTTTTTTCTTATAAAAATGGAACATTTTTAACATGACAAATTTTTTAAATTAAATTATAAATTTTGTTTTCTAAATTATTATCAAAACATACATAAACAGTAAAAATAATGACATAAATAAATAAATATCAATTTATATTTATTTTCTGTCTGAAATCTAAAGGTTGTTATTTGCAAGAAATTTCTGTTGATTATACTTTAAAATTCAAATATATAGATATCTACATATGAAATTTTCTGGCTGATATTTATTTTAAATAATTCTAATATTTTGAATTAATCACTAAATAATTTACTTAAAATAAAATTATGAAATCTTTCCAAAAGGGACAACACTTGAGAATAAATAATAACAACCTTTTTTTTATTTATCAATTTTTTCTTTGACGCATACAGAAAAAATACATCTATTTGTACGTAAATAATTATTAGCCTCTTTACTTCTTACTACAAGTATCAGTTGTAACATCTACGGTTTTTTTTGATTTTGATAAAGTTTGTATCGTTGTAGAAAAATTCTGAGAAATTGCCTTTGTGCAACTGTAGATGTCATTGGTCAGTCTGGTTCCTTTATTAAAAACAATGGGGAAAAAAACTATTCACATATAAATGTGTTCCCAAATAAAGGGATTATTCTTATTGCAAAAATTAAATGTGTTTATCTTTTGACAAGAGCGAAAAAAGGTTAATCAAATCTCAAATTTTTAAATAAACATCTTCAAATCTTTAAATAAAAGTGATACCGCAGCGTAAATCAATTACCTCCGCTTATAGATTTTCTTGAGCGCTTCTCACGTTCTTTAAAAAAATGACAACGAAAGTAATGTAAAATTGGGCTCAAAATCATTAAAATCTAAAAACCTTTCTTCAAACTCTTGCTACAATAATTAATGTTATAATCATGCGAAATAAATTCTTGGAAATGTATTGGCGCGCCATTTGCTTCGGGGTTCGTATGCGGGTCTTCGTCTTGAGGCCACTGAACTAAAATACGTAGGGAACCACCAGCGGCCGAACAATAAAATCGCTGAACACTGTTCAATTCAAATTCAATTTTCGGCAAATGGACCTCTGCAAAGACATTTTTGTGGTTTTTCCTCTGTGTAATGTGAATGCGAGCCAACGTTCCCTAGAAAGACTTCCAAGAAGGCGCACATTCCTTTCAGCAAATAATTTTTGAGGGGTTTGGCGATTAATCTAAATAATCCGTATTCAATGTACTTGTCAACTATTACTATTTCATCATGTATAGAATCAGTTCGGTTACATTTCGTCATTCATTTACGTGTAGTCTTATTTTCTGGACTACTCTCTTGAATTTTCTTTGAAAAATATTTATGATTCCATTGCAGTCGTTTTCTTGGGTTCAGTAGGTAAACTGTTACTATAAATGTCTCTGTTTTGGTCTTTAACTTCTGTCAGGGATAGACATGTAAAATAAAACTGAACATGCTAAGCGACATTTTTGTTTAGTACTACCTGACTTTAAATCAGCTTTGTTTTAAATATGGTTGTTTTAAAATAATTATTGCTTATTATTTTGTTTACAAAGAAAAAACTGTGAAATGTAATAAAATATATATTTTCTCTTTTTGTAAGAGCTTGAATACGATAAAAGATTTAAACTTTTTTGTTTAAACTCGCATTTTTGCGTGACTGTTGTTTGCCTTCGCATTATCTTGCGTGTTTGTTAGAAAGTGCTCATCCCATCTGTTATTTGAGTGAATGTTTCGTTGTTATGGATACTCTTTAATAGTCTTTTGGCACCTGGACTCAGTTGGCTAAACCGTTTTAAACTTAGAATGCTTCCTGAACATGCTTTTGCATGCTTATTATCATCTGAGAGGATATGAATTGAATGATTATCTTACAATTTTTTTCTTCTTTAAAGGTGCTGTAATTTTTGTATGCGCGATAAACTTGATGTACTGCAATTTTTATCCTGGTACAAGTAAGTTAAAGTCTTATTATTTTGCATAAACACAGGAATAATTTTATCTCAGACATTTTTTATACTAAGATTTAAAACATTTTTATGCAATTTTTAGAATTTTGATGCCCATATTTATTAGCCAATTTTTATTCATCTTGCTTAAAAATATATTTGCTTTTTGAAAAAGACGGGTGTAGTGTTTTCGTAACATAAACATCAATGTAAGGCAGAATTGCTTTAGTTAATAAACATTTATTAAATAATTTATTAGATTGAATGTAGATTTTTACCATGTTTCCAAAAATAGTTGTGTTGCCAATTAATTTCTAAGAAAATATTTAATTACTTTTATCATATAAAATTATTTCGATAATTTTTTTAATGAATTTGAAATTTAATTAATTTTAATAATTTTAATTTGATTTTAACGAAATTTTACTAAAAGAAAGTTGAATATCCTTCATTATTATATGGTAAAAGTGCATACAAAAATTGCAGAAAAAAGAGGAGGTATTTTTGTCAGAACCTAAAATATTCTTTTTATAACGTGCATTTCACCCATTTACTTTTTTAATCTTTATATGAGCTTTAAGTTTTAATATATAGAGATCAAAAAGTTATAAATCTAAACAACAGTTGAGCAGAATTTTAGCTTAATAGTGACAGAAATTGATAAACACTGTATTAGGCAGCAACAAAAGTACAAGCTATGTTATAAATAGGTATGTCTAGTGAGAAAAATTTACACAGAAAAATATGTGTCAAATAGGAAACTAGAGAAATCATTTATTTATATTATTAATTAAACGTAATAAAATGTGGATTCTTTAAGTAATTAAAAGAGGTGTTATGATAAATTACTATAAATTAACAGGAATCAAATCATTATGTTGCATTACTATGAAACTCAAAATTAGTTTTTTTGAGTGAAAAATAAAATCGGATTTATTCAGTACTTCTTCAAAGCATCAACTCCTGCAATTTGTTTACTTTGCCACAAATAAAGATATTTCAAGAATTAACCACACAAAACTGGTATTTAACAAAATTTTGTTACTGAAAAAATAAAAGTTTTAAAAATTCAGAATTTATAGTTGAAATAATACCCAACGGTTTCTCAATTAGACAGTTTTTCTCTTCCCAAAATAGAACTCAAAATTTCTTATATATTTAAAAATTTTATGTATTTTAAAACTGAAAATTTTACTGAAAACAACGATTTGAGTATTCCTTTCTTAAAATAAAAGATATTCGTTTATAAACGAATTATCAAATTATGTCATATTGTTTAAACATATTATCATTAGAATACTAATATTTAGAGGAAGAGGAAAGTATTTGTTCGTTAGTTTTCATGTTAAGTAGCTATTTCTTAGGGTTGCAGTTGCAATGAAATTCATCTATAGCAACAACTTTTCTCATTAATTTCTTCTAGACTTACTTTCTCGTTTTTCTCGAAACACTTCAGAAATATATTATTCCCTTCCTGAAATTTACATTGTTATTAGCAAATTTTCGCTTATCCAACCCAACATATAGCACTCTCGAGAGGTTAGTGGTAGGAAGAAAGAGTTCGCCATATTGTTCACGATTAAAATAAGGATTAAAGTCAGCAAAATTCTTCATTCGACAACGGTCTTAAAGCTTTATGCCTATGAGTTCTTGTCATCAACCCTGAAATATCATGAGGTCGGTCTGGGGCTGTTTTTCTGGACGAGAGGACACACAAGAACAGTATTTAGTAACTGAATTTCCAGTTTTTCTAAGACTCCCATGGGCCGATGGTATATCACTATACCATCGGCCCATGGGAGTTTAAAGTTTTAGTTTTAATTCTAAGTTTAAAGTTTAAAGTATGAGTGTTTTCTCCCTCCGTTCCGCATGTCTTCATGGTGTAATTGGAAGCATACTTGACGCGTATTCGAGAGTCCCGGTGAGAGCAATGCACATTTTTCACGTATCCAGCATCAGTAAAACCTAATGACTCTACAGTGGCACTCGAACTAAAAGATGGTGGACGATAATTTGTCACCATCATGTTTCGGTGATTGGGTACCCTAATCCCGAGTCACCCTTTAAAAGGGTAATATGTTTCACAAACTATAATCAATCAACAAATGGACTGTATTCCTACACTTTTATTAAATTACACTTGTCAGCGATGCAAAATAATTGATACAAAATAAGCGAGCCATTCTACATGGCTGTCACAAACACAATTCTATCAATCAATTATCTTGTTGCCACACATAAAGTTCAAAACTAAAGGAAGAAAAGCAAAAGGAATTTACGCTGTTTGCAACAATAAAATGAAGCAAACGATACTCACATAAACATCCTGGCCCTCGTTGAAATCCCAGGGGATTTCAACAGTTGGAGCATTTTGAAACTTCTTAGTCTGTAATAAAGATAAACATAAGAAAAATAATACAAAATATTATATGCGAAGCAGTTCATAGTTTTTTAGTCTGAATAGGAAGAGGACACAATTTCACGACTGGTCGTTTTATGACACCATGACCAGTTTTAATACTAGCAACTCTGACTCTTTGATCTGAGCCCGGATGAACAGCAATTATTCTCCCTAACCTCCATTTAAGAGGCGGAAGGTTGTCTTCTTTGATGAGGACTAAGTCATTGACTTCTAAATTGTTTTGACTTTTTTGCCATTTAGGTCTTTGTTGAAGCTGAGACAGGTATTCTCGACTCCATCTTTTCCAGAAGTGCTGAAAAATAAACTGTCTCACATGCCATCTGTCAATGTGATTGAAGGAACTATAATTTAGGTCTGGTTCAGGTATGGCAGTTAAAGACGTTCCTATTAGGAAATGACCAGGTGTTAATGCAGTTAAATCATTTGGATCAGCCGATGTTGGACACAATGGCCTAGAGTTGAGACAAGCCTCAACCTGCGCTATCAAGGTCTGAAATTCCGGATAGGTCAGCACAGTATCACCAACAGTCCTTTTTAGATGTAATTTCATTGACTTTACTGCCGATTCCCATAGTCCACCAAAATGGGGAGATGATGGCGGGTTGAATATCCATTTTATTTCCTCTAAAGACAAAAATTTGTGAATTTCTTGATTTTGCTTACATTGCAAAAAACATTTTCTGATTTCTTTGTCTGCACCTTTAAAGTTAGTACCGCAGTCACTATAAATCTCAAATGGTTTCCCTCTTCTTGCAATAAATCGTTTCAATGCACTTAAAAAATGCCTTTGTTGACAAATCTTCTACCACTTCAAGATGTGTACTGCCTTGATTACAAAACACACAAATAAGCATACGTAATATTTAAATGATTTTTGTCCACGTCCTGCACGATGTTTAATCATGAACGGTCCAGAAAAATCTATTCCAGTTCGATGAAATGGTCGCGATTGTGTTACTCTAGATTCCGGTAGATCAGCCATTATTTGACTTGCAGTTTTAGCTCTAAGTTTGCAACACGTGATACAAGATCTTACTACTTTTCGGATAGCAGATCTAGCAGCTATGATCCAAAATTGCTGTCTAATTAAAGATAGAAGAAGTTCCGGTGCTGCATGCAGATATTTGACATGAAAGTGTCTAATTATGATTTCTGTCAGATTGTGTTTTGAAGGTAATAAGATTGGATGTTTTTCATTTTCTGATAGTTGCGTATTTTTTCAGTCTTCCTCCTACACGTAACACTTTGTTGTCATCTAAAATTGGACACAAGCTAAGGAGGTTGCTGTTTGTAGGTAAGTCCTTTCCCAACTCCAAACATTGAATTTCTTTAAAAAAGTGAAATCGCTGTATTATTCGGACAATACAGAAAGTTGCAGCTCGAATTTCATTACTAGATAAAAAAAGACGTATTTCTTTCTAGATATGCTACTTTAGAATTCGATATGAATCTTAATATCCAAGCAAATATGCGTTGTAACTTTGGAAATGAAGATATATTTGATATAATAGCAAGTTCCTGTACAGGTTCAGAAACTACAAATGAGACTGTTTTACGTGCATCTGGTAATGCCTCTTCATCTATAAGAATATTTTTAGACAAGGCAATCTCACTGCACTTTAACCAAGAAGGACCATTCCACCACAATTGATGAGATAATAGTTCTGCAGGAAATAATCCCACGTGAAGCACAATCAGCTGGATTTTCCTTTCCATCAACATGACTCCAGTTCTCAGGTGGTAAGATGGATTGTATTTCAGAAACTCTATTGGATACGAATACTTGCCATTTTTTAGGATCTGACCTTAGCCATGACAACACGATTTGTGAATCACTCCAAGCTTGCACTAAATCAAAATTTATAACTAATGCAGCTTTTACAGACTGAATCAAGCGTGCCAATAACACTGCTGCACATAATTCCAGTCTTGGAATCGTAATAGATTTTAATGGTGCTACACGAGTTTTAGCTGTTACGAGTTTAACATTAATGTCAGAGTTATTGCAAGTTTTGATATAAATAACTGCTGCATAACCTCTTTCAGACGCATCACAAAATCCGTGAAGTTCACATCGAAAATAATCAGGTAGCAGAATTTTCCTAGGTATATTTATAGAATTCAAAAGTTTAACTTCTCTACATAGATTTCTCCAATTTCGATCAATCTCTTCTGTTACAGGATCATCCCATGATAACTGTAATTTCCACAATTGCTGAAGGATCATTTTAGCGAGAATTACAAACGGAGCTATCCACCCCAATGGATCGAATAGTTTTGCTACGAATGACAAAATAATTCTTTTAGTCGGAACACTTTGATACTCTATTACACCGACATTACATTTGAATTCATCATTGTCCGGATGCCATTCCAATCCCAGAACTTTCAATGGTTTTGTCTTCTATTACACGATGAATATTGTCACTATCTGTGTTTGTTAAGCCAGAGGTTTTTTAACAATGACGGTTCACTTGTCGACCATTTGTGAAGCTCAAAGCCACCACTTTTTAGCAGATGTTGCAATTCGTCTATCAATGCAATACCTTCCGAACTATCTTTTACACCAGTTAACATATCATCA